ACACAAGGGATGGTGGCTTTGGCCCCATCTCACAGCCAGGGCAGGTTGTCACCAAGAACTCATACTGCTGCACTTGGTGGCAAGGGGTAACAGGAGCTCTGAGTGACAAGGGCTGCTCACTCTGTCCCCTCCAGGGCCACCTGTGTGCCGCAGGGACCAGGGGCAGCTGCCTTTCACAGCCCAGTGTCAGATGAGTTCTGCCTTTTCCCCCAGAGCATCTTGCAGAAACATACGCTGGCCGCTGCTGCGGTGGGAGCTGGCTTTGCTCTCAGGCTCCGCAGCCCAGGCTGAGCCTCTTCCCCCTTTGCCACGTCCCTTTGCGGGGAAAAGCCACCAATTCTGGGCTCTCTGGCTTCCCCCCAAGCTGAGAAATTGCCCCTTGTCCTGCCATGGTGCTGGCAACTCCCCAGCTCCTCTTGCCTGTCTTGGGGTTCTTGGCAGCATCCTGCACGGCACAGTGTCTTCGCCAGAGAGGCTCTCCTGGAAAAATGAGCCCCTTCCCCCGGGACAGCAGGGCAGCTTCCGACCCCGCAGGGCCCCCGGGCACTGTTTATCTTTGCACAGGAGATAAAGCAGCTGTCGGCCATCCCATTTCGGGGCTGGACAGCTGTAGCTCACCCTGGCCCATCCCATCCCACCGCGGCAGGGGTAGGGACCTCCCAGTACTTGCTAGCCGCCTCAAGTATCACTTTGTTGGTGGCTGGCTGACGATGCTGCTGTGTTGCCCCTGGGAAGACAGGACCCGGCCCCATTTCAGAGGGACCACATTTCAGGGTCAAGCCACCCCCCAGGACTTGTTCTATGGGTCCCCATCACACACGGCTCCAGCCTCTCCTCCTGGTGCTGCTGTGTTGCACCCCAGGGTGCTGGCACCCTCTGCACAGGGCTGTGCCCCGTCTCCTGCACAAGGGAGCAAGGAGGGAGCCAGGGGTGAAGGCTGGGCTGGGTGGGATGAGCTAGACATGGTGATGGGCACGGGACTTCTCCATGGCTCAGCAGGTACCCAGGCATTTGGGGAAGGTCCCCTTCTCTAGGGCAGAAGGGTTGGGGTGCTCAGGTCAACGTGGCACCCAGGGGTGAGGCATGTGGCTAGCAGCAGCCATGAGGGCTGCATGGGGTGCAGTGTGTCCCATCACCCTGGGCACGGCCACCAAGGGACCCGTCCCAGCTGGACCAGCACGGCTCAGTTCCTCCCTAGAGCCTCTACAGTAACAACAGTGGCTCTGGGGCTCTGCACATGTGTCACGAAGTGTGTGTGCTCAGGCTCTCTCTGGGGCAGCAAGCTGGACTGTGTCCCCTCCACCCCTCCCTGCTCGGCATCTTTGCACCACCGGCATCTGGTGACGCTCCTAGCTGGAGAGAAAGAGAAATCCCCCAGACAAACAGCTATCGACGGCTGCGGTGGAGGCGGCACAGATAGATACTGGAGGTATAGACGGGCATGGCAGACAGCGGAGCAGATTGAGAGATACTCGGAGCAGAGAGATACCGCAGGAGGAATCGGGAGATAGATCCTGCGGGCTGATCAATACCCACTGCATGCAGAGGGACAGCAAGATAGAGCGAGCTGCAGGGGGAAGGTGTTTGGTGGGCAGCGATGTGCGTTTGTCCTGGCGACGACTCCGGGGAGCTGCTGCTCACAGCCACTTCAGTTGGGGCCGGGACAGAGACAGACCCATGGTGCAGGTACCTGTGGCTGTCTTCTTGCTCATCTCCAGCCACCCCACAGGTGTCTGGTGTCGTTTGAGGTGCCCTGGGGTCCCACCTGGCCTCTGGGTACCAAAGGGTGCATATCTCCTGTATGTCCTGGTCACATCCTCCAGCCCCACATAGATGTCCTTGCCACCTCTGGGTATCTCAGAGGATGCTGGGCCCCTGTGTATGGGCAGGCGACAGGGAGAGGGGCAGCTTGAGTGCAAGCCCTGGTCTTGGCACAGGGGCTGTGCTGGAGCTAGGTGACTGCAGATGAGTTCCCACCCTGTGCCTCAGTTTCCCCATGTGAAAGAAATGATGGCAAGACGCAGGGAGTTGGGTTGGTCCAGCACAGACTCAGGCATGGATGAGGAGTGGGGAGGAAGGGGCAAAGGCAGTGAGAGCCTGCGAGACATGCTGTGTCCTGGACCCATCTCTCATCTGCTGGTCATTGGGGACACTTACCCACTCTGTAACATGCTGCAAACACCCAGCCCAAAGGGAAGGGATGCTTTTTGGGACCCTTGAATGCCTGGCACTGTCCCTTCTCAGTACTGGGTTGGGGACAACCCTTCCTGCCACAGCAAAGCAGCCAGGGCCCCTGTGTCCCAGCACAGCTCCATCCCGGTGGCACTTGCCCGAGCCACCCTGTACTGTCTGGTTTCCCAGCTGGGCACATCCCAGCTTAGCTGGAGACAGTGAGGAAGGTACTACCGGAGCAGCCCTTCACCCAGACAGGGCTGCCGACCCCGCAGCCAGGCTGGGGGGGATCCCCCGCCCGTGATGGAGTTATTGACACGGGCACTACGGAAAACACTGCTGAGATTGTTCACACTAATGTTATTTAGCAGCAATATTTCCGTAATAAAAGAAATCAATGGGCAAGAGAAAAGACCTGTCCAGAGCTTTGATTTTCTCATTTTAATGGCATACTTATTTACTCCCACCAGCGTGCCCATCGGATTTTCATTACATGGCCTTCGCTGTAAGTGGAACGGTATTGATACGAGCTGCTGAGTTAGCGCCTTCCTGTGCGGGCTGGCGTGGGGTTGCTCGTGTTCCTCGACAGGGCCCCGCCAAACCCCAGGGAACATGCACAGCCTCGCAGCCCGTGGGAACACACATGCAACGCACACACAGCCTGCCCACATGCGTGCGTGCACACACATGGTCTGCCCATGGGCACACAGGCATGCACACAGGTATACCTGCTCGTCCTGCCGGTCTGTACACGCATGTGCGCTTGGACTGTGCATACACACATGTGTGCGCACACTCGTCTCACCCGCACAGGCACACACGCGTGCACACAGCTCTCCTGCCTACAGACATGCACATGTACAAATGTCCTGCCCATATGTGCTGACGCACTCACACGTATGCAATTGCTCTGACTATATGGGCAGATGCCGAATTGTTCTACCCCTATACACACATGTGCAACCCCAACCTGTTCTGCCTACACCCCCCGGCAAACTCTTCTACCTATATGTATGCACACACATATGCGTGCCCAACTGCCCTGCCAGGACACTACACACACACACACACACACACACAACACACAAAAGACCATCCTGCGTGCAGCTATACACACGTGGACACACGTGGCATACATACCGTGATTCACTCCTGTGCCCTTCTCACACTGTGGGGGGGTACATGTGTGTAAACCTCTCAGAACGATCAACCCACTACACCTGGGTCCATCCACCCCGAGGGCCGCACGCCCAGCATCACCACTGTCCCTCAAAAGGATGGAGCCCATGGACTCTTGGGTCCCCCGTGGAAGCAGTGACCTGGCACCAGCCCAGGCTTTTGGTCCCCAGCCAGTGATTGCATCCAAGAGAGGAGTAAGAGCACCATCTCCTGCCCGTCCTCAGGAGCCGAGACGGGGCTGATCCCGTCCAGCACTGCACCCCCTGGCTCCCAGGACCCCAGGTGGGATGATGCCAGCTGCCCAGGGACACCCTGCTGTCCTCAGCTGCCAGCAGGACCCCCACTGAGCACAGGGACGGATGGATCCAGCACTGTTCCCCGTGGCAGGGGCTCAGCACGCTCCAGAGACTCTCCCAGGGACCCAAGCAGATGTGATGAACACTTTTATTACTGATGCCTCTTTTCAGGTGGCAAATTAAGAAACAGCCCATGTGCGGGGCTGCCAGTCAGCAGGACAAGGACAGTCCGGGGAGCAGGAGGAGCAACATGCTACAGGCCTGGTGACCAGGGACACACATGTTAGTTTGGCAGCAGCACAGAGGTGAAAGTCCTCCACCAAGCAGCGAGCCCGCAGGGGTCTGGCCGCAGAGCTGCAAGCAGGGTCTGCAGCCAGGCTTGGTCGGGGGACCGCAGCGCTCCCTCGGCAGCCGGGATCCCATGCCGGGAGCCGAGCGGAGTGGCTGTCCCCAGGAGGTCTCACAGCTAAGGGAAGCGTTTTGAGGGGCGAGATCCCATCCTGAGCTAGTACAGAGGTTTGGGCACCCGCAGACACTGGGTATGTGCATAGCCCAGAGGCCACGCAGAACGGGCTCTCGGTTAAGGCGACAGACGGTGGCTCTCCCCCATGGGGGGGAATGCAGGAAGGGGGACTGTGGGGAAAGGGACCCTCTTCCAGTCCCGGTTATCCCCTGGAGCAGATGACACACAAGGGACCAAGAGGGACCTCCTGCATGGAGGCTGGGCATCCCCTCACTGATGGGGGGTGGGCAGCGCAGATCCTGCCCCGTGCCAGGGTGACACTGTGTGCTGCCAACCCCCGTCAGCGGGGACGGAGCCACGGGAGATGCTGCCAGCTGGACACAGCGCCCTGCACTGCCCGCAGCCCCGGCAGACTGCCAGCGAGACAGGGGAGCTCTTGGCTGACCTTTACAACGGGTGCTCTGGCCCAGCTCACCCCATGCCCCCTGCCGTGAG